CTCCCTTTTCCCCCCCCCCCCCCCCTTCTTCCCCGCGCCGCGAGATGGCGCGAAGAGGCGCTGTTCACAGCTCGGCGCAGCAGCAGGCGGTACGAGCAGTTCCACGCCGAGTCGGAGGTTCTCATCCCGGCCGTCCGCGGCGCCCTGTCGCAGCGTGAGGTGCCCCTCCCGACGCTGGCGTCCCTCGTCGACCGCAGCCAGGCGCTGACCGCCTCGCACCTGCGCAACACCCTCGAGGAGACCGAATGGCTGCCTGCAGCGGCGCGCCGCCTCGGCGCCGTCGCGGCCTCGGCGTTTGGCGCCGGCTTTGGCGGGAGCGTGTGGGCCCTCGTCGAGGCGGGTAGGGCGAGAGAGATCCTCGCCGAGTGGAGTCGTGCGTACGCGGAGGAGTACCCGCACCGGCAGGCCCACGCGCGCTTCTTTGCGATGGAGAGCCCGCCGCCTGGCGCGTGCTCCGTCGTGTGAGGGGGGAGCGCGAGTCCTGCGACATACGTGTGCGAAGAAAAGAGGATGCCCTCACCTCCGAGAGGCAACTCCGCTGCTACCGCGCGGAAGAATTTAAACAAAACAACTCTCTCTCTCACAGCAGACAGGCCGCGCAATAAAACCACCCCCGCCTCAACCCGCTCAGGGACGGACGCTTTTCCCCCCTTTCAAAGGCGGTTTCGAAGTTGATGAGACCTCGTCCCCCCCTCTCCAATGAAAAGCGTAAAAAGAGGCGCGGAACAGGCCGGAAGCGCCGCTTGGACGTGGGTCACACAATGGCAACGCTCCAGACGCGCTCTGGTAGCTGCCAATGAAGCCGTAGCCCATCGCGCGCGTGCCGGACGGCCTCTGCACCTCTACTGCAGTGCCCTCCTGCACCGAGCGACGCGTCAAACCTTTGTTGCTGCCCATGACCGCCGGCGGCTCCGAGCTCGGGCGAGCGAGCCCTGGCTGAGCTGAGCCTCTGCGGTCGCAATGCAGCGCTGCGGTCGGTGCAGAGTGGCCGTGCGCGTACGGCGTCGTACGCGCACGGCCGCTCTGCCTCAGTGGCGTGCGGCTTGGGCCAACTGAGGTCGCTCTCCGACCTCGCTCGCCGAGCTCACAACCCGGCGCGAGCCGCATCGAGTGGAAGTTCGACTTCAGCTGCCGCGAGTGGATGGACTGCCTTGTCGAGTGCGAGCAGTTGGGCTCCGCCGGGAGCTTGTGGTGCAACATGTTCTCTGGGGGCCAGCAGACGCAAGCGCGCGAGCGCGTGTTGAAACGGACGCTCCATAGCAACACTCGAGATACACTCGAAGGGGGGCACACGTTTTTTTATTCGGGTTCGGGGCCCAAGAGTACACTCTTGGCGACGAAACCGAAGCGGTTTGGCCCCGGGGTGGTTTTATTGCGGCTCGACAGGACACAGGTGCGCGGACTGCGACTGGCGCGTGCTAGCACTATCACTCAGGCAAACCACCGGAGCCGCCTAAGCGACTCCGGTAAGCACGGCAATGCACTTAGCGCCGTGCACAATGCCGCTCTCCCCGCACGCCGCACGCTAGCTCGTTCAGAGAGAGAGGCCTCTCTTTCTCGTTCACCGTCTGGCACGCCACGGCGGCGCGGAGAACGACAGACAAGCGCTGCATCTGCAGCCCGTGCCAGTTCTTGGTGGTCCATGTGACCTCATCGAGGTGCTGATTGATTGATAGGAAGGTGAAGAACAGCCAGGTGCTGAGCGCGCGGAAGAAAACAACGAATACCTCCCCCGGTATTTATACCGGTAGGGAGGCGTGTGCCGAATACAAAGTGGAGTCCCGCCCCGCAATAAGCGCAGATGTCCTCTTCAGCCTGCTGAGAGCT